CAACAGGAAATGACTTAATCCATCAAGCCCAGAACAGAGAGAAATTTGCCATATTGATCGCCAACCTCAATAGAGTTAGGAGGAGGAGAGATTATACTATAATATGTAGTCACTAATAACGTATGATTGCTGTGACATTCTTCTCTAAATAAAAAAAAACATTATAATAAATAATATTATAAAATAATAAAAAGTGCATTCACCTAATAACTTGCAAATTTGGCCGCGCTAATTAACTTTTGCTCAGATATAAAATCAGCAGCGTTCTGTGTTTAACATCTCACACTAATCTCTCCAGTTAGGCTCCATTCTCCTCTGATTTAATTTGATAAGCAGACTATTCATAGTCTATTAAAATAGTATTAAATATATCTAATGTAATTTTAATTGCAGAGATATCGTTATTTCTCAAATATAACGTGTAATTGACCAATCTTTCAATAAAAGTAGTTTAAATTTAAATATAAAAAAATATTTACGTGATGAAAATGTTCTAAAGTGCTTTATTCTAATGGATTGTTATGGTTATTAACACCATTAACATGAAATTTTAGAGTATTAACGAACCGTGACTTAAAAACCACACAAAAAGGAATATTTAATAATTTACATCTAACAAAGACTATATTAAATTTTGTATTTATATAAGTCAATTGGCTCCTTTCATTACATTCCCAAAACTTTTATTGGTTAATTTGTCTACCGCAAATATTTGATTACACTTCTTAGTGTTAGACTTCTGTAATTTAATTTCCAACGCTGTGAACTTCTTATAATTAGTTAATTATATCCTCGCTGTGACATATTTCGCTCTACTGGAAACTTATCAAGTAGATCGAACACCAACTCAAAGACAGAAAATCAAACCGTACAAATGGCGCCTAGATTCGTGTTCTTAGCAGCGTGGAATATTTCTTATACGTCAACGTTTGTTCAGTCCCGAATATTTGGCAGCCTTGACTTTTCTTTCTACCTATTCCCCTTTTCCCATATACTCAATCCTGTGTGATGACCATTTTTAATATGCGCAGTAGATGTCCAAGGTTTGCGGTTTTGACTAATTTTATTGTTCTTAACAAGTTTTTGTCATGAATGATCATTCTCAGCACTACTACGTTACTGAATCTGATCGTGTAAGAAATTTTTAGCATTCTCCAGTATATACAACGTTCAAAAGATTCAATCTTCATAACCATTTGAATATTACTATTTATATACTACTACTTATACTATTTGTCACGTAATAGTAATAGCCTAAATTTTATGAATGATGTCCTTGTTATTTCCATTCGTACCCTGATCTCCTGGTCTGAATTTAATCCATAAAGTCTCTCAGATACTTATATTTGCAACCGTTCTTGCATTGCACATAACGCGTCAAGTTATACGTAGCACTAGCAACGCACACAAAGCGATGCAACTATCAATTGACGTCGCATTGAGATCACTTTGTCAGCGGTACGTCTAATCTGATGCTTGCTTGCTATTATATGTGTAATCACGATGTGTAATAACGCGACCAGCCATGCTAGCGACTGTTGGCATCGGGATAACGCGGACTCGCCGACGGTAATGTCATTTGTATAATTTACACCTTGAGTGCCATTGTCCGGTGGGGACGACGCTGTTGCGGGCGGCGATGCTACCGAAACGACATTAGCGCTTGTGTAACCGGGTCCTAACCAAAAGTAAGAAAGACCTGTTCATTGCAAGATATTTCCGTTTTAATCTTCTAGGTATAGTTGTATACAGGGTCGGATTTATATACTGATACATTTTATCAAAATTACGGCAATTTCGCAAAGTAAAAGAAAAATACAAATAAGTAGTACTGAAAAAATATACAAAAAAATAAAAAAAATTTTAAACTTAACTATCGTCTACATTTAAATCGGTATCACTATCGTTTAAATCTATAACTACTCTATTTATAATGTTTTGAAACTGTAAGTATTTTTCTTATATTTTTTGACATGCTTTATACATTTTTTCCAATTATCTGCTGTAATATTATTACATTGGTTTCTTAAACTACAACAGTCGAAAATGATTTAGGAGAATTAGGAACAGAAAATTAAATATTCTCGTCGGTTTTTGCGGAAATGTATGTGGGGCGAGAATTCGCCCCACGTGGTATCGAGTGTTTTCACGTTCTACAAATCTGATTTTATCAGTTTAGACGAAAGTTTTGAAAAATGGTTATTATGACTGTACTAATTACTTGCCATAATGTGCAGTCGTATTCTTTACATATTAGCAGTTGATTGTAATGTGTTTTCTTTATCTTTGAAATTCCATTTTTGATATTACCTAGTGGAAACTTTTTTAATTCCCCTATTAGCATATTTTTGTCTAGATTCTTTGAAGTATCACTTTTTATTTGGTGAATTTCTGAATGTGACTGTCTTCTGTCTTTGATTTTTAATTTGTTGAATTGGTACTAAACAAAGTGTACAAACAATAAAGAGTTAAAAAATGGTAAGATTAATGACATAAATAGAATACTTGGCTTAAAAGTAAACCAAACTACTGGGTGAGAAGTCGCCCACCTGGTACTGGTCGTTTTAAAATTCACCCGATATTAGTAAGATTAACTAAAGAGTATTTTTAACGAGTACTTACCATTGTAAACGTTAAGCACGATTTGCTTTACATCGTGTATGAGATGAATATATCCAGAACGTTTTTCAGGTACAGATTCGTCTTCACTTCCTGAAATAATGGCAGGAATGTACAGGACATCGTCACTAATCATTTATATATCACTCATATTTATAGTTATTACACTGACTTCTGTTCTAAATGAACGACAAAAGAAAAATGAAGTTCTTTTCAAATAAACTTCTTCTTCTTGTTCTCTTCTTCTCTTCTTCTCTTCTTCTCTTCTTTCTTCTTCTCACAGAAGCCCATTTAGTGATAATTTGATATTAAGTAAACATTATCATTTTACCTGAATAAAATTCCAAGAAATTTTCTAATCTCTTATAAACACTGGATTTACATACCTAGAAATTTGTAATTCTGAATTCCAAGTACAAATGAAATTAACTGATTAAATTTAAATAGGTACACAAAATTATGCTTAAAATTTTATTTACCAATCATTATCAACTCAAAATTGAAATACATACCTGGCTACACATACTTTGTATCATTTAGTAAAGTACCCTTAAACTTTGGATATAATTTAAAATTGAACCTAATGTAACGAAAGACTAAGGGTGACTATGCGTTACAGCATTAAGGGAGTATGCCATTATACATGCTTGATATTGGCCCAGTCTCTTAATCTGGGGAATTCCATCCAAATTATCTTGCAACGGATAGTACACCAATATTGGGTACTGCATAAATGGGAGTACTATGCCGAATAAGTTAAAAATTAAAATATAAGTGACTAAATAATAAATAGAATTAAAAAGTCCATTCGTTGTGTCTACGTATGACAAAAGTATACTGACGATAGTATTCATCGTCAAACTCCACAAAAAAGATCATCAACACTAATGAAGCAAAGAAAATCAGGAAATGTGTTAATTATGAAAATATAAAAATATGGAAAAAGGAAGAAATGTGTATTAAATTAAGCTTTAAGATGTTTATTTATTTTTTTTATCAATTAGATATCCGTTAATAGATTAGTAAGACGAGACCTTTGGAGTACTAAATAACTTAATGCTCCAAATCAGTAGCTAACAATTAAGGTAATAACAAAATTAAAAATGAGTGAAAAATGCCACTAAACATATGACTTTCACAGTTTCACAAGAAGATTATGTTAAATTAATTTTAAACAGTTAAATAGTGAAACGACCTTGACTAGCTTGATCTACCACGGTAGAATAATCCTAACGAGTTTCTGCAATTATCTGCGATTGAAGAGAATCCAGCTGGTTCGTTTATTATTTGTTATAAGGTCATCGGTAAATCTCTACATAACCACACCACAAGTATAAACAATTATGAAATGCAACATCAATTTTATGATTACTTTGTAATATGCAGTACATTTTTAATTTACATGAAAATATTGGTATTGTAGATCTTTGTTTACGTAATTCTTTTTGGTTTTTCGCTTGGTTTTTTCCATAATCGCCGTAAAGCAGCAGTTATTTTTTAATTATACCATTATTATTATAAATAAACCATATTTTATGTGAAGTTTAATGAACATATATTTTAATTATTTATACCTAGGACAAGTCGAGTTTATTTTACTTTGACGTAATAGAAATAAAACAAACTGAAAGCTTAATTTTAATCGTTCAAAAATTATCTTTATTGTTTTAAAGACGTTCGGATTTCTTTAAAATAGTTTTTCTTCCTTTGCTAAAATACGCTTTCAAAAAAGTATTAGTAATTTACGTCTTAGGAGGTCTAATGTTGAAGAGCTTACAAATGAGCCCTACTTTGATTTACTATAAATATATACAATATTATTTTTAAAAGGCTACCAGTTTGGAAACCAAAACCGCCAATATAAAAGTTATTACAAAGTTGTGGTTTATTTGGAACAAGATTTTATCTCTTGAAGTTTTTCCATCTTGGCTTCTACCAAAAGAGTTTGAAGCAAATATTCTCGTTGGAATATTTTAACGATGTTAATGATTTAACTCTATGTCGTCATGTTAACAGAATCACGGTGCTTTGACTTAGTCCACCAAATAGACTCTCAAACTGCAAAATAGGTTGCCATGGTTGACATCTCGAAACATCCCGTTTTTTTAGTGCCACGGGGAAAAAGGATAGGATAAAAGTTAAATTTTATATATGTATTAGACAATTCTTGGTTTGTTTGTATAGGTGTAAATCTCAAATTTTGGAGAGAGTACTTATCATAATAACGGCTTTTGATTTTTGTATATATTGTACGATATAACCGTTATTTCAACTTGCTTTAATTTATTCTATATGTATTAAGAAATCGTTATTTTATTTAATTAAATCTTATAAGAGATTCTGGTTAATTAAAAAAATAATCCTTATTTTTTCTGTTGCAGAAAATTCCTTACCCTAAATCAGTATTTTTTATAGTCAGCAACGAATTTTGCGAACGATTCAGCTACTATGGCATGCGAAGTAAGTATATTTAAAAACTTAACTAATTTAAATAGGCTACAATATAAATATGTATAACTTTAATAATGGGCGACTTTAACGCAAAGTCGGTAAAGGGAAAGTAGAAGATGTCGTAGGGAATTATGGTCTAGGAATTAGAAATGAAAGAGGAGACCAATTAGTACAATATTGTCAAGAGAAAGAACTAGTCATCACAAACACCTTTTATCAATTACCACCAAGAAGACTCTATACTTGGAGTGCAACAGGAGACAACAATAATAATCTGATAAGAAACCAAATCGATTACATTCTTGTCAACAAAAGATTTAGAAATGGAATTAAAAGCGTTAAAACATATCCTAGTGCTGATGCAGACTCCGACCACAATCTACTTCTTGCCAACGTTAATATTAAACTGAGAAAACAACAGAAAAAAAGTAAAATTCAGAGACTAGATTTGTCAAAGCTTGAGGGTGAAAAATGTCAACAACAAATAAATGAAGCAGTTGCACCAGCATTCGCAGAGGCGCCAAAAAAAGATATTAATAGTGCCTGGAACGAAATGAAATCGGCAGTACTTAACGCTGGTAAAATGTTTGTGGGTAAAAAAGAACCAATTGCCAAAAAAGACTGGATGACACCAGATATTATAAACCTCATAAAAGAAAAACGAAAATACAAAAATACAAATAAAGAGAAGTACAAGCAAATGAAGAAACTAGTAGAAACGCAGATCAAGGAAGCTAAAGAGCACTAGATGGTAGAAAATTGTAGAGAAATAGAAGAACTTAATATGAAATACGACACACATGGGCTACATAAGAAACTGAAAGAAATTACAGGAAATAATCGGAAGAGAATACCACAAGTTATACGAAACTCCAAGGGGGATCTCCAATTATCAGCAGTAGAAAAACAACAAAATTGGGAGAAATACATCAAGGACTTATTCGCAGATAATAGGGAAGAAATAAATGATACATTACCAACTAATGAAAATCTAAAAATTCTGATATCAAAGGTTAAACAGGCAATTAAAATCTCAAAAAGTGGTAAAGCGCCAGGTCCCGATGAAATTCCTGTAGAGATATTAAAAATCCTGAATGATGAAAATATAGAGTGTCTAACTAAATTATTTAATAAAATATACCACGATGGTCAAATCCCGGATGAATGGTTAAAATCTATCTTTTTACCCTTACCCAAGAAAAATAATCCTAAATCTTGCGATGAGTACCGATTAATTAGCATTATGAGCCACACTTTAAAAATACTACTCAAAGTTATTCAGCAGCGTATATATAAAAAATGTGAAGAACAATTAGACAATACACAGTTTGGATTTAAATGTGGAATGGGAACAAGAGAGGCACTGTGCGCAATGACGGTACTATTACAAAAATGCAGGGAATATAATAAAAACGTATTCATATGTTATATAGATTTCCAAAAAGCTTTTGATAGAGTCCAACATGGTAAACTCATACATGCATTGAAACACATACACCTAGATCCCAAGGATATTAATTTAATCAAAAATCTGTACTACAATCAAACAGCGGTCGTACGGGTGGAAGATAGTGAGACAAACCAGGTGGAAATTCAAAGAGGAGTCAGACAGGGATGTGTGATGTCGCTACAATTATTTAATGTGTACTCCCAACTAATATTTCAGAAGGCACTATGGGAAAGAACTGAAGGTGTAAGGATTGGAGGGAGCAACATTAATAACATAAGATTTGCAGACGATACCGCAATCATGGCAGAGAATATAGACGATTTACAAACTCTCCTGGAAATCATTAACAGAGAAAGCAAAAAGATGGGACTAACAATCAATATAAATAAACCAAATACATGGTGATCTCAAAAAACCCTGTTGACAACATACAACTGACATTGAGGGTAAACCCCTAGAGAGAGTCGACAAATATAAATACCTCGGAGCAATTATAAACTCACAGTTAGATCAAGAGCAGGAGAAAAAGGTCAGAATAGAAATAGCTCGAAAAGGCTTTATAAAATACAAGTCAATGTTTACAAATAAGAAATTGAGTATGGCCATCAGATTGAGGTTCGTCGAATGTTACGTTTGGTCGCAACTACTATATGGGGTAGAAGCTTGGACTCTGAAAGCCCAATCTATAAAAAAATTGGAGGCATTCGAAATGTGGCTATATAGGCGTATTTTGAAGATTCCTTGGACTGCAAAAGTCTCAAATGAGGAAGTGTTAAGACGAGTTGGACATGGCAGAAAGCTTATGAACGACAATTAAAATAAGAAAAACATCGTATCTGGGCCACATACTCCGAAACGATAAATACTCTGCTATAAGTCATCATGCAAGGTAGAGTAGAGAGAAGAAAAGGCTTGGGAAGAAAGAAGAAATCTTGGCTGAGGAATATCAGAGATTGGACTAACCTCAGTGTTGAACAGATATTTCACGTTGCAAAAGATCGAGAAGCGTTTAAAGAAGTGATCGCCAACCTTCGTTAGAAGACGGCACAAGAAGAAGAAGATAACTTTAATACAATCCAATAAAAAAATAATCTACCAAAATTATTTTTGAAAAACGACTAGTTCTGATCACTGTCTGAACCTGTATGTTAATAAATGGTCTAGAGTAACTCCGAGTTATATTGGCTTTTGGTGTGCTCTAGCAAGGTGTTATTTCAGGTGATTTTAAGTTTCCTTTTGGATAGTCTGGACTGAAGGTGGAAAGCGCAGACCTAAGTTTTGATTGATTTGCTCTTACCGAATTTTTATAATAATTGGACATCAAATTCAGGGCAGCGTCCAATTTTTGTTCGATCTCTTCAAACCTTAAACTTTGGGCTATGACACCTAAGTCGTCTGCGTATAAGAAGTGTCTAGTATTTAAAAGCTGTCCTTAGTTGATCATTGGTGTACAAGTTAAAAAGTATAGGTGCTAGTACGCTACCCTGAGCCAAGCCGGTTTCTTTGGGTTCGCCGGCATTTTTTTCCCTCAGGCTCACGTAGAATCGGTTATTTTGCAGTAGTAATTCCACTATTATGACGAGTTGCAGGTCTAAAATCAGCTTGCTGGATAAGTCTTTCGTATAGCTTATAGAGGTGGCAGAGAAGCGATATAAGGCGGTAACTCTGGCGTTTCTAGGGTTTTCCTAGGTTTTAGTATAGCTATGACTTTTGCTTTTCTCCAAAGTTTTGGTATTTGAAATGTCGTTCGGCAGTTTTTGAACAAGCATTGGATCCAGATTTTTGCCACAGTGCCAAAATGTTTAATTTGCTCCTGGGATATAATATCGTCTTCTGCGACTTTCCTATTAGTGGATTTAGCTCTTTATTTGGTTCTTTTATGGTAAACGTTGTGACAAAGCACTACAAGTATACAATCTTCTGGAAGGTAATTTAAAATAGATAATCATGATTATATAGTATATTGCTTTAAAAAAACCCCATTAGTCGTTGTTCTCTTTTGATTTTGTTGTTGCGCTTGATTGATTTATTAAGGAATATTGCTACTCTCTATTTGTTTATAGTGGTATTTTCTCCTGAGAAATATATATATATATATATATATATAATATATATATATATATATATAATATTATATATATATAAAGGTTTAGTTCCATCTCTATTATTATATTTGCCGCTTTTACAGCTTGATACATTCTTCGGACAGTCCAAATGCCAATTCTCTTTTTTAGTTCATTTTAATGACATCATTGGACGATTCTTAGCACCCTCTCACTTAAGGGACACCCGGAACTGAGATCTATTACTGGGTTTTGCGTTTCCATTTGCTGACATAAAAATAGCTAGGCTAAAATAAGAATAAAAGCTACTTATCTACACATATCCTATTACAATGCCTGTGAGAAATTAGACTTAATTCTGGAGAAGACTGAAGTGAAAGCATATAAGGAATGTTAACGCGGCAAATTGACTAATAATTTTGACGTTAAAGAATTAAAAAAATTGCATAGTTTCATAATAAACAATAATCATTTTACTCAACATATTAAGCGACTTAATGTTTCGTGACCACAGTAAAAAAAATATTAACTAGATACTTACTGCCTTAGCTAAATTAACATTACCGAGTTTGTTGTCCAACAATACTTGATTGTCACTGATTTGCATGAAATGTATATTTAATATTTAAAAGAATTGTAGCCGAATTATGTAAACTATTTTATTATTATTGAAAATATTTAAAATTTTACCTTAAAGTTTAATATATTTTTTCTTTTCTAGCGATCCTCATCCTTTATCTCACGAATATACTGCTGTTTAGTGAATCACAATCGTTAGTAACTTACCATACGTTTTCCATGTGTGTATATTTTTTCCCAATAATTGGTGCCATAATTTCAGACAGTTTTTTAGGAAAATTCAATACAATCTTTTATGTTTCGATGATATATGCTAGTGGAAGTATTCTACTTGCACTAACAGCTAGTGATCCCATAGGGTTACCTAAAGTTGTAAGTATTTATGTTTCATACTTCTCTAAAAAAATTGCTATGAAATTTTTGCAATATTTAAATTTAATACAGTTTAAAGCAGTCATTTTATTGCATTTTTCTTCTGCGTCACTTTTGTTGGTATATTCTTAGTTTCAAGTTCATTTAGAATTTGTTCTTATCTATGTTATTTGAACACAGATGCGAAATTCATACAGAACATAAAAACTTTTGTATTATTTAAAATACATACATCAAAAATGTCTAAGGAACACCAATCATATTTCACTTTTTTTAATAAAAACTTGAACACTTTTTGTTAATATAATATTGTTTTATTAAAAAAAGTGACAGCGCCTTAAATTCGTACGATTAATTGCTGCAGATTGTAAAGGAAAGTGCTTTAACTATTAAAGATAGCCTGTATTTAATTGCCATGGAGTCATGGAGCATTGGCATTGAGCACATGTTTAAATAGTAACTGCTGTGAATATGTTTGAGGCTGGTCTTTCACAGGCTAATCATTTCACATCATTTTGACGTGCCTCGGGGTGTGATTTCGCGATTGTAGCGTCGATATAAATAATTAGGTAATGTCACTGAAACACATTAAGATCATCAATGTACAACTATTCCTTGACAGGATCGGTATGTGGTAGGATTAGCTCGTCAAAATGTGCATATAACTGCACTTGAACTGTGTGGGTCCTTAGGAAATACCCACAACATTCCTGTATGTTATCAAACTTTAAAGAAATAGATTGCATAAAGCTGGTTTGCACGCCAGACATTCATTAAGGGTTCCCATGGTACGTCATGGAAATCGTAAACCTCAGATTAAGGTGGTAACAACAACACGTGGATTGGAGCTTATAAGAATGGAGTTATGTGATAAAGCTAGGTTTTATCCCTATGCTGATACAAGAAGAGCAAGAGTTTAAAGAGGACCTGGTTTACAAAAGAGGCACAGATATGTACAAGGTGTTTGTCCATATAGTGGTCTACAAGTTATAATGTGGGCTGGAATAATTTTTCATCATTGAACTTTACACTTTTTGTGGAAGGCACTTTGAATCAATATTGATGGTATCTTAGAACCTGGAGTCCTTTCATTTGCCACTGTTGGAAGTCCTGATTTGCGTTACATGCAGGATAATGCAAGGCCACATACTGCAGCAACAGTAATTTTATAATGAGAATATTACATTTTTACGGTGGTCAGCACACTCGTCAGATCTTAGTCTCATCAATCGTGTATAGGATATACTTCAGGGACAGAATGCTCCTCATCATGGATATCCACCATACATAAAAAAGGCAGACGGGATCAATGGGACAACTACAGAGGCATCGCTGTAACGAACTCGATCAGCCGAATATACGGAAAACTGATTAAAAATAAAATCGAAAACGAATATAAAGATATAGAAGCTGAAGAACAGGCAGGATTCCGATCAGGGAGATCAACGGTAGACCATCTGTTTTGTATTACACAGATTATTGAGAAGAAACTGGCCGTCAACCAGGAGGTGCATCTGTTATATGTGGACTTGAGAAAAGCGTATGATAGCATCCCACAAAACAAACTATGGGAAGCATTAGAGAAAACCAATATAAGCGCAAATTTAATAACAGCGACGAAACAATTGTATACCAAAACTGCAGCAAGGGTGAAAGTTGAAAGCGGGCTATCGAGAGGATTCCAAATTAGCAAAGGCCTAAAACAAGGGTGCTGCCTTTCACCGACATTATTTAAGATCTACCTCGAGCAAACTCTAAAACTTTGGAAACGCAAATGCAAAAACATGGGATTACCGATCAACAACAATACAATATACACTTTGTCATTTGCAGACGACCAACTGGTACTAGCGCAAGACTACGATGATATAGAATATATGACAAGGAAATTAATAGAGGAGTACAAAAAAGGTGGTTTGGAAATAAACATAAAAAAGACCGAATATATGTGTATCGGTGGGACACAGCAGGACCTTACACTGGGGAATGGCGAAATTATTAAACATTGCGACGCATATAAATACCTGGGTATGACCATCACACAAGAAGGAAACGTAGACCGGACGATAGAAGAAAGAAACAACCAGGGAAGAAAAGCAATTACCCTTCTCAATAGCATACTGTGGGACCAGGCAATATCAAACAACAACAAACATAGAATATACAATACAATTGTTAAGAGTATAATCACTTACAGCAGTGAAGTATGGCAAATAAAAGAAAGATACAAGAGAAAACTTGAAGCAACAGAAATGGATTTCTGGAGGCGCTCAGCAGGAAAATCAAGATTAGAAAGGGTAACCAACAACAGAATTAGGGAAATAATGAATGTGAAACACACAATAGTAGATGACATTAGTACCAAACAGCTTAGATGGTATGGACACGTACAAAGAATGTCCGAAGAACGACTCCTGAAACAAATCCTAACGTGGACCCCTCATGGTAAACGAAAAAGAGGAAGACCCCGCCATAGTTGGAGAGAAGGCATAAATCGAAGTATGAGAGAAAGAGAATTAGATGAAGACCTTTGGATGGACCGAAGTGAATGGCGACTAGGCATCGGAAAACGTAGGAGAACGTTTTATAACCGTGTATTTTCAACAGAATGCTCCTCATATGTACTATGGTTATATAGGCAAGGATTTCAAGATCTGCTTACACAGGAATCATCCTATTGCTTCAAAACGAAATTAATAATTGAATTTTAAGCATTCCAAGGCAGTGTCAAGCTATAATTGCTACTGGAGAAAACACAGATAATAAAAAAATTGTAATTTTAGATATTTATGTTTTATATTGACTTTTAAGTTAAAAATGTCCATTAAATTAGTGCACATTTTTACTTAAGTTTGATTATTTCATCATAGAGAAACCATATTACACCGAAATAAGATAAGTTCATTGCTGACTAATGAGGCATTCTAACGGCATGTAATTTTTAAAATCCAATCAAAACTGATGTATAGATGAGAAAAAAAAACTTATGCTCATTAGACATTTTTGATGTGTTTATGTGTTACATGATATATTATGACATATGGAGTAAAGGTTTTAATATTGAGTCCTTGTCACAGATTAGACTCCAAAGCAGGTCCACCATATCACTACGTAATGTCTAGAATGGAAATCTAATAACTTCAGATTTGTTACACAAGCTGCTTTAACGGGATCATCATATCCTAGTTGGTCTGGATAACAACCGATCCAAGCACTTGCGGAAGAATATTAGACGTATTAGAAGAACACTTTTTATATCTTCATATACATTTTTTTAGTATAAATGACAAATGAAACATCCAAGTTCTCGAAGATCTTAGTATCTCTTAGTAATGATAAATAATAATATCTCATCGTGAATAAAAAGCAAGTACTCATTTATATTAAATATGCAATTAGCAATTTTAACTTACTACAAAAGCAATGTAAAGAATTTAATATACGGAGCTATCTGTGCATTAAACAGTGTGAAACCCTTGCAAAACCCATTTAGACAAGGCATTATAAAAAGTACTGTGTTAATTTCTATCATAAATATATTCATTGACAACTTCGACATTGAATACAAGTACTCTTCACCAAAGAATCAAGATTTCGACTTCTAGGTTATGATAAGTTGCTCTAGTACATGTTTAAAGAAGTTCCAGTGCATGACACTCTGTTGCAGTTGTTAAAGAGATCCACAGTTGTATCTGATGGTCTGATAAGTAACCTTCTTTGCTTATTAGGGAGCTGAGATTTCCAAAATCATTAGTTCTATTGACGTGTTGACGTTTGACGTGTTTTTCAAAATTAAAATTTAAGAAATAAAACCGCGAAATAAACAAATAAAAAGCTGGATAAATATTATGGACTACTTCAGACTGTACTGTCAGATTTTGATTCCGCGAATTTCGTAGTGGCCGTATATCGATATTAAAGGAATTACATACTGGATGGCCCTCAAATACAATTACACCGGAAAATGTGTAAAAAGTCATGACATGGCTTTAACTGACCGTAAAATGAAGGCCATTGACCATTGACCAAAAACATGATCATATGACCACTTCTCAGCAGTGTTTGGATCTTATGAAGCTCCATCCAACTTTTGGCACCGATTGGTAATCTCTGAGAAAATCTGGATTCACTTCTATACACCAAAGAACGAAATTACCGCACGGCAGTAGACTGAAGCCGGCAAAATGCTCTGTAGCGACAAAGAGTGGCTCAATGGTTAAAACTATCAACAGCCAATATTATTCTGCAGTATTGGACTAATTGCAGCACTAACTTAGTGAAAAACGGTTCCATTTGCAGAAGAAAAAAGTTTTGTTTCTCAAAGACAATTCACCGGTTGATAAAACAAACGCCTATTTTGTAGATCTTTCAGAATCGTATTATTGGGACGGTATAAAGAAGTTGGAAATCGCTGGAATCGGTGGAGACATATTTTTCATTTAAAAGGAGGTTACTCATCAAACCATCAATTTTTATACGCTTTACAATAGTTTGGACTGACATGCGTATCGAAGGAACAACCAATATTTAGTAATCCAGAGAGGCTTTATCGTTTAATGTTACATTGTAATGTAATAAAATGTGACTAAAATAACAAGTTATACCGACAAGTTATGGGCGAATCAGAAATTCATTGAAGCAAGATAACGAGAAACTTTACACTGAAGCCATTATCATAAATCTAAAGTAAAGCTTAAACTTATAGCGCCCAATAAACGGAGAGAGACTAAGAGAATGGAACTAAAAAAGAAGGGCGACATTCTCCAAGAAATGCTAAAAGTGTATCCTCTATTGATAAGGGTATAAGAAAGGTCACAAGAAATATGGGAGACTATTAAACATTGTGTAACAACAACGTTTCGTAGAATGGCAGGTTTGACAGGATCTGAATATTTCTTTTCGTATAATATATACATATCTATATGTAAAAATACATTATGCTTTTTATTGTAACCTTAAAAATGTGATCAAATTTTAGGGTTTCTCAATATTGGGCCTATTACTCATAGCCATAGGCACCGGTGGTATTAAACCATGCGTTGCAGCGTTTGGAGGAGACCAATTTCGCCTACCCCAACAAGCGAAGGACCTAGAGAGGTTTTTCTCATTATTTTACTTCTCTATCAATGCTGGAAGTTTGATATCAACTTTTATAACTCCAATTTTAAGAAATGATGTACATTGTTTTGGTAATGAGAGCTGTTTTCCTTTGGCTTTCGCAGTTCCCGGAATTCTGATGGTAATTTCTATAGGTAAGACTTCTTATATGTTCATTGTTCAACTTAATAACGAATTTAACTTACAAACGAGTCTGTAATAAACCTAATAAACAAACATAATTTCAAAATAATGGAACCTTGTTAACAGAAAAATACTTTGATACTTTCCTGTATGGAAAAAAGAAACCTGATATCATCAATAAGTTTTGACGTTTTGTAATATGTGTATAATGTATAGTTTTTTTCTTGTTTTAGTCATCTTCGCCTCAGGACGACCAACGTATAAAATCAAAAAACCAGAGGGCAACGTTATAGTACAAGTTACAAAATGTATTGTGGTAAGTGTAATATTTTTAGAGATTCATTTTTAGTGTTATATTAGTTAAAAATATAGACAACATAAATATAAATAAAAATATAATATAAATAAAAAGCCTATATAAATATTTGCTTTACTGAAATTAAAATTACCATAGGTTCAGAAAAATATTAAAATTATCTATAGACTGTAAAAGTCCCATGAGACATTCCTGGAATTCTAATGGATTATATATGGAGTAAGACATTAGCATAAAAACAAATAGCTACTATTGTATACCGAAACGTAAAAAGATAAAGTAAAAACCGACTGTTTGCAAAAATGTAGCTGTTGCAGTAAATAATTTCAGAGAAAAAAACTTAATTGACTAAATAATTATTAGGCAACTTGGAGGAACCTTGGAATAGCTGAAAAAATAATTTGCCGCCAAAACTGCCAATGGTTACGTTTCAGAGAATTGATTGTGCGATCCAACAGATGAACAGAAATGGGCTTAGAAAAGATCAGCAATACCAATTTTATTTCCTTCGAAATATCAAATCAGGAACCTCTAAAGAATATTTGACTCTACAGGGTTCTGGGCACTTAATTCGAGATGTTTGGGAAAAGCAAATAGAACTCTAAGATTGTAAGTAAGGAAAGAAAACCCCTCATTTGAACTTAAGAAACTAGTTTTATTTATATTGAAATCACACATGCCAATGTGGTTTAGTGTCAACACTTTTAGAACAGAACTATTCTACCAAGCAATACAAACTACCAGGTATTTGCCAAAACATTTGCTTGATGTTATTGATCCTGTGATTGCCCACTCGGAACACGTGATGTGATCCATGACTCAAGATGACAAGAAACACATAAGAGAGCTCGGACTGCGAAGAATTCTGAATGTATAGACAGATGCAAGAAGAAAATGTGTAAGAACATTTACGTCACCAAAAATCAACCTCAATGCACAAAAATACTATGGAATCATTAAGTGGATGGACTGTGAATTATCTTCTCCTCTTTTGTTGGCAGAAATTAGTGACAACGAAATCAAATCGTACATCAATAGTGACTCAATCCCTGAGTGGAAAATTAGTTTCAAGCAATTCCCAGTTTCCACGAGGGCTATTAAACGTTGTGTAAAACTCACGGCAGCCTCGGGAAAAGTTTGTGCAGCTGAATCTTGAGACGGATTTATAAGAACCACTCTGCTGTTTAGATCATCCATGTCTATCTTCAATACCTCCAAAGTACTTTCGGCTACAAAATATAGAGCATTACAAATGGGCAAGCTAAACTAACATGGACTATTTATTCAGAACTCTGTTGTTTTATAAAAGTAAGTTTATTATTTATCATCATCTTTGGCTCGACAATCCTCTGTGGATCTTGGCCTGCTCTAAGATTCGTCGCCATTCTGTTCGGTTTTTGGCAACATGTTGCCATCTTCTGATTTTTAATATTCGTAAGTCGGTTTCCACTCCATCTAACCACCTAATTCGCGGTCGGCCTTTGCTTCTTTTTCCTACAGGTGTTCCTGAGTTTGTATCCTCAAAATACAAACAGTAAATGTTTGTATTTTGAGAACGATTTCCGAAGTGGAAATTGAAACGTCAATAAACGTATTTTTACCTTTAATTGTGGCTTATTCCCAGTTAAATAGTAATTAATTTAAAATGCCACAAGAAAATAGCTTCAGAACAATATATTCTAACTTGTACTCGACGGTTTAAAGATTATAAAGCTATTTGTAGAATTGCAATTCATTTAGTAGTTTTTTAGAAAAAAAATCCCAAAAATCACTAATTAAGGCATTTTTTCAACAAAAAAATGCAAATAACTCGAAAAGGAAGCATTTTTCGAAAAATTATCAAGAGAGAAAAAGTATTTATTTTGATGAGATACACCTAAAAAAATTGATTCCGAAGCAATTCGGTAAAATTGCTTTTTTGTATAAGTTATTTGTTAATAACAATTGCCGGCCCACTTTTAAAAATTTAAAGAAAATACATTTCATCTTGGAAAAATATATAGAATCGAATAAAAAAGATTTGGTGCATTAGAAGTGCAAAAAGAATTTTAGTCGGTATATTCTGTTTCTAAGCGTCTTTTGAGGGGTAAACCGCTCGCCTAGAAGTATCTATCTGCAGTTGATTCCATCGGCTGCTGCCGAGGCGCAGCTTCTCTATGCATAGCATCGTCCACGCTCCTAACACTTCGACTCTTTGTAGCATATAATGCAGTGTTGTTGTTTTGTAATACTTTACCTGTGTTTTACTTAACTGAAAGATATAGCAGTAACAATACAGTTGCTAGCAATATTTAAGAAATATTTATATGATCCTCAAACCATCATTTCTTGTATATTTTCTATACAAAATACTGTCGATGTTTCTCACCTGCGAGTCGTCTGTCCTGACAGCTCATTCTTTTATAAATAAAAATAGATAAATTCTAGATAGTAATATATATTATATTATAAAACTTTTTGTGATTTTAGTGCGGAATAAAGAATAAGATGAAGTCCAAAGAGAAAAAGGAACATTGGCTTGATTATGCAGAAGAACAATATGGAGAAAAACTAGTAAACGAGGTTAAGGCAACACTCCATGTTTTGGTTCTCTTTCTTCCGCTGCCGATTTTCTGGGCTCTCTATGATCAGCAAGGATCAGGATGGACCTTGATGGCAGTGAGAATGGATGGAAACATTGGATTCTACACAATTTTGCCAGATCAGATGCAAGTCGTCAACCCATTGTTGATTTTGGCTTTTATTCCACTATTTACCTATTACGTTTATCCACTTCTAGGTAATTATTATACTGTGACCTAATTAAAAAATATTTTATATTTCGGTAAATGGTAAATAATAATCTCTTAATATTTATATAAGGTGGAAAATAACTGAAAATACGGGATTTTCTTTTATATAGCTTTTTAAAATATTCGTTCGTGGGTTTTGCTATATACATATATAACGATAGATCAAGCAAGAGAACTAACTTAGCTTCAGCTTTTACTTGTTTGTCTACTTCGGTTTCCGTTTAAGCACGTAGACAAACCTTCTAGAATAAGATAATTTTGCACTGCGAAAGTTCTATCATCGTAATTTTCGCCGCCTAAAAACTTTGACAACGTAAACATGTAATTCACTGCCATTTTGAACCTTAACACTCACTAGTATACAAGTTTATCTGTTACCGACGGAAAAAATGGTCTAGGCTACCATAACCTGTTAAAACTTAAAAATAAAATGAACCAGTAGAGTTAAGACTAACTTTATTTTGTCCCAAAAGTGAATGAATACAATTAACAGTTCACATTGTACCAATATGAAAATATTTTAGTATATGTCAAATACATGTTTAGTAGTATAACATGATGTTAATAAAAATAATAAACTCAAATGAATTTCTATCTGATCTCCTTTTAAATTAAATTAAATGCCTATAGTATTCTAATAATATTTTAGGAAAATGTAACTTACTGAAGACTTCTCTGCAGCGAATGGCTTGTGGAGGACTTTTAGCAGCTCTCGCTTTTGCCGTTTCTGCATTTGTCACTATGGCTATTGAAAGTAATGATCCAATATTGCCATCAGCTGGTAACATGCAATTAAGGGTGTACAATCCGTCAAGCTGTAGTATGTCTGTTAGCACCGATATAACAGAAATAAAGTCATTTACCTTAAATCCAACATCTTCCTATGTGGATGAGGATATTGCATGGAGTGGAAATAAATCTGTAACATTTATATTTGAGTCTAAACAACCTGAATGTTTAGGTGGTAAACAAATGATTTCTCTAGCGGAAAAGAACGCATATGGTATTTTTATTCAAGAAAATGGGACGATCCGCTTTTATGAAGATGATGTCGCTAAGAGCAAAACTGGTTATCCTTTAGTGAGGTGAGTTTATCATAAATATTAATTTTCTTTTGGATTTAATCTTTAACTGGTTATATACAATATAAAAAATTACCTTTATTTTTTGTTCCTTTCTCTATTAAAATTTGAACATCATTCCTAACATTTTGAATTAATATTCTGGTCAAAGAAAAATTATTTCCGAAAACAATATAGGAATAATCACAACTAGGACATAGGTAATTAAAGGTTTTTACAATTTTTGTATAAAAAGTTTTTTATAATATCTAGTCTACTTTATAAAAATGTTCAAAAATCATTATATTGTGATAGAGAATGTTATGAGATGCGTAACTGAATAATTGAGCTACAATATGTAATAGATGTACCCAGTATGCAGATGACTTAAACCTTCCCGCACGTATGAAATTTATTCCCAAAAAGAATAAAGTCCATCCACTGATCTTAGAAGTAACCAAAAATGCAATAAAAAACAACAAAGGGTCAGGAAAGATGAAAGAAATCAAGCGGGTGAGAAGAAAAGGAAATGTTTGAAAAAATAAATATAGGTTCGCTGTTCCCATTACAGAAAAAGGGAATTACCTTCAATATAACAATTACAAAAGGATTTTCCACCTAAATACAATATATAAATTACCCTCTTACAACACTCTCTTACCCTCTTACAGAAGAAATTCAGGGTGACTATCAAAGTAGGTTCAGACTTAGGTGGTACTCACGTAAATCCTATTAAGAGAGATTTAGGGGATTTAATATTAATATCTTCCATCTAATCGTAGATTTAAAAGCAGCGTACGATAGCGTAATACATAACAAGTCATAAAAATTGCTATATTGCTTTCCAGAATTCCTGTTAAACTGGAGATTGGTAAAGTATTAAATCTAAAATATCTATTTTGAAAATTTATACACCGTCAGAAGACCGAGAAAAGGAATGCGCTGGCGTGTCTCTTTTTTAACATTGCTCCAAAATGTGCTAGGGAAGATGCATGCAGAACTACATAACTGAGTTTTAATATTATTTAAAAAATCTAGATATTCGCATACGCAGATGACCAAAGAGGTATTCGATACACCCTCAAATGTGGCAGATAATGTGGGTCTAATTATTAACGAAAATAAACTAAAGAACGTTTGTAGATCCAATTACTACATCGTAGTCCTAAGAATCAATCCATGAAGCTTGAAGTCTCGTTAAAATTGTATCTTTTTGTCATGTGATCTGGTTTCTCATTAAAAATGTTCTTCGTCACAATTCTTGTAATATTCATATGCCCTATCCTTTTATTCCAAAGTTTCAGTGATTGTTTTATTTTTTTAAACTCCAAATTTTGCTTCTCCTTGTATTATACCAAATGCAAGGGAGACAGATCTAGTAGAGCCTCCATAGCTACTGTTGGAGTAGTACGTATTTCTTCATACACGCAAGTATTTTCACATTGCTCAGTTTGGCTTTCGCAGATGTTTGAAGTGTCTTAGTCCATTAGTTCATCACCTCGTCGCTGCGTAGGTAATTGATAGTTTGATGACCATTATGTACATCCGATGCACTATGTCCGGTTTTAATCCTCGTTTATTAGCATATATGCTTCTAACCCTCATTAAAGTTGGCACTGCACTGATTGTTATTTTTTCTAATTGCTGTTTCCAGGTAAGTTTTAAGTCTAGTATAACCCCGAGATACTTTCTTCTTGTAGTCCCTATCAGTTTCGAATGTTGGTGACCATCATGGCAATCTCTATTTTGCAAACTGCTGATCTGAAAATATTTGTGGTTGTTGTATTGAACCACGTACATAGATTTTTCAGCCAGAAAATATTTCGCCTTCCTGGTCCTTCTGCTGCTTTAAAATACCTAATCTCTTTAATTTTTGTCTGCGTGTGAAAGCGGCTATGGTGGATTTGTGGCGATTTATATTAAGCCCCTTTAAACATGTTTATTGTCTTAATAATTCTAGAGATTTTTTCATATGATTTCTGACTAACATATTGTACTTTCCTTGTAAGATGCTTACCAAATCATCCGCATATGCAATTGTTGCTCCTAGCTTGGTTCTGGAGATTTTTAGTTTTGAAGGTATTTGATGACATTCAATATTTTTTCCGTTAAGGGTAATAATTAATTACTATTAAACTGGGAATAAGCCACAATTAAAGATAAAAATACGTTTATTGACGTTTCAATTTCCACTTCGGAAATCGTTCTCAAAATACAAACAGTAAATTAAACAAATTTTGTTTTTTGTTACATAGTGAAAAATTCTTCTAATAATTTAATTTTATCTGACTTATTTATATTGACAATTCAGACATACATTATGCATTTTAAAGTAGACGACTTTAAAATGATATTGCCAATATTGTTGAGTTGCGCTCCTGGGACGACTTTACTTATAAGATAGTTCATTCGATTACATGAAATCAACTTTAACTTGAGAATATCCGTCAGAAAAAAATCATAGCATGTAATTCGTATTTAAAAAGACAAACACATGACATGATGACAGTAAAATTCTCCTGTTAGTGATTCCATAGTAAATTATGAGGGAAAACCAGGAAAAAAACCTCATAATTTTGTTCGTGAATTTAGTTTACCTTCAACAAACATCAAAATTCTGATTTTATATGTTACGTTATTTAAAAAACATAAATGATGTATCCTCTATATGTTACTGACTTACTAATACTGGTATTTTCTTATTAATAACTTCCTCTTTCAATATTGGTAACCAGATCCTACTACATTCTGCCGAGGAATTTGCGACACAATTGGCCTCATTTAGCATAATTAGAGCCGCTTAAACTAAATTCACGAACAAATACTTACAATGTCGGGATAGTATTATGAGGTTTTTTTCCTGGTTTTCCCTCATAATTTACTATGGAATCACTAACAGGAGAATTTTACTGTCATCATGTCATGTGTTTGTCTTTTTAAATACGAATTACATGCTATGATTTTTTTCTGACGGATATTCTCAAGTTAAAGTTGATTTCATGTAATCGAATGAACTATCTTATAAGTAAAGTCGTCCCAGGAGCGCAACTCAACAATATTGGCAATATCATTTTAAAGTCGTCTACTTTAAAATGCATAATGTATGTCAATATAAATGAGTCAGATAGAATTAAATTATTAGAAGAATTTTTCACTATTTAACAAAAAACAAAATTTGTTTAATTTACTGTTTGTATTTTGAGAACGATTTCCGAAGTGGAAATTGAAACGTCAATAAACGTATTTTTATCTTTAATTGTGGCTTATTCCCAGTTTAATAGTAATTAATTTACAATGCCACAAGAAAATAGCTTCAGAACAATATTAAGGGTAATAATATTTAAAGACAATCTTTAGAAATGTGAATTGTTTAGTTACTTTGCTCAGTATGATTATTATGAGTGATCTATGTGTATCTATTACATAAAACAAAAATAAAAAGATGTTGATAATAAAAAAATGAATGGCACAAGTATTATGTATGCCTCCTTATATTTTCTATAATTAATAAAATTTTAATTATCCTAAATTAAAAATCCCTAATTAATAATCTTTTAATCTTTTAGTAATAATTAGTGAAATATCAAAGTAAATGCATGCAGGCCTGAATAGTAAAAATAAACAAAAAATGTCAAAACATTACTCCAGCTATTAGCATATCATGATATGCTAATAACTGGATAGATATAAGAAACTATTATACAGTGGTGAGTGCTTTATCATCCGGCTTTTTAACGTAAGAGATAGAAAACACAGTTACCTTGTGAAATAAAAAGAGATGAAACTGCTAGAGGTGGGAAATAATCGATAGAAACCTATAATTTACATTACATTGCATTAATACTATCGATAGTCTCACACCTTTAGACGTTAGCTTCCAGCTAAATCACCTCGGTCATAATTATTATTTGTGACGTCGTATGTGTAACGTATTTCAGTGACATTTTTTAATTTCGCATAAAGTAAAAAATGATTGACCACAATAAAGCAAAAATGTGAATAAAATAAATTAATTAATAGTGATTATTTAATCTAAAGTTTTAAATTATTAACCAAAAATAATTTCTATGATTTGAGGAGTTTCATACACTCTTGTCACGGAAATAAACATCAGTCCTTCGTGGATTAGTGGTAAGAATTCGACACTGCGACGCAGACGATTAGAGTTCAAAACCCATATGTGGTTTTCTTTTCTTTTTTTTTTTAATAATTTGAAATTATGCAGAGATCGTTTTGATTTGAATCACTAAATATTTATGTCAGTCGTTACTAGTATTAGAAGTGTTTAAAGTTACACATAAATATCTTTTTGAATTTGAATTATTTTGTCCGTTTTTTCCGTTTTATAACATTGGAATAAGAATAAATTGTAAATAATGAGGTTTTCGAAAACTTGTTACCTAATATGTATAATATTTTCTATTATTTTTTGATTGAGTAAAACAAAAATTTTATCCTTGGTGGGAATTGAACCCCAATCTTCTTGTCAATAGACCACGTGTCTAATAATTACACCAACTCCACATACGATAAATGTTTTCGAACAGAACATACCTACCTTTAGTTTAGTCAAATATTTCAGTTGAGTTATTTTTATTATTAAATAAACTTAAAGATTTATAATTTAAAATCGCTACTAATTAATGTTTTTTACTTTAATTCTTAACTTATTCAATCATTTATTCTTACATCAGAAATTATTAAAATAAAATATTTTCGCGGTCATCCGTATAATTATGACTGAAGTCAAATAGCCACGTCTAAGAACTAGCTATATCTCATTCTTTCTCACAAAATCCATCCTCTATCCTTTCCGCTATTTTGCCGGGTTTTAAAGCGACTTGTAAACACTTAATACTATAATAACGTCTAAAGGTGTGAGACTATCGACGGTGGTAATGTAATGTAATGTAAATTATAGGTTTCTATCGATTATTTCCCACCTTTACGAGTTTCATCTCTTCTTATTTCACAAGGTAACTGTATTTTCTATCTCTTACGTTAAAAAGCCGGATGATAAAGCACTCACCACTGTATAATACAATGTAGCTACAAAAATAGCAGAACAAAAGATATAGTAATCTTCATTTGATTAGTAGAGTACTGAAGATACTAAAAAAATAAAAATGTTTAACCAAATTGTACTTTTGATGTATAAAGGCGATGGGATATACCTTTAAAATTCTCTTTATCATGAAACCATTAAAAAATTTAGCATACAGTAACTGGTTTTGTTAAAAAAGTAAAATAATAAATGAGATGACTTACGTTTAGAAGTTCCTGTAGTTTTCTTCTTACCACAAAATCACCCTACTAGACTGCAGCAAAATATTCTATAGTGGTTAGTTTAAATCAAGTTTCTAAAGGCCAATAAAAAGATGATATTGAGAACCAATAACTAAACCTCACTTTCTTTATTTTGTGGCATACTTGCAATTTACCGTTATAGATCTAACTACTGGCTTTTCTCAGGCAGTTGTTTTCTCTTCTACCGCTGTCTCAAGCTCCCGACCTGAACAGTAACCTAAAATCTCGGCTGTTTCCCTTTTTATCTCGACCAATTTATTTCTCGCGTACAAATTATCGATTTGTGGTTTTACGAAGATCTGAGACTTTTACAACATCTACATTGAAATCAAGAAGCTTCTATTCTGGTAGACGGCAAAGAAACAGACAAAATTTGTATTCAAAGAGGTGTTAGACAGGGTTTTGTGTTGTCCCCAACTTTGTTTAACGTTTACTCAGATATAATTTTTAACGAATCCTTGGAAGGGCAATGTGGAGTTCGAATTGGGGAAGAAATTATTAACGACAGTTATATGCAGATGACACCGCGATCATGGCTAAAAGTATCGAATATATTTAATTCTTTATAGATCGAGTTACTAGAGAATGGTCTAATAACAGAATAAGCATAAATAAAACAAAGACAAAGTTACTTGTGGTTAGTAAACAAGACCTTGGCGCTATACACCTAATTGTCAATAATGAATCGATAACAAAAGGTAAGCATTTTAAATAGCTAGGATGTTTTATAAACGAGACTCTAGATTACTCTATGGATGTGAAACCTGGATTATGAAGATTAACATGATGAACAAATTAGAAGCCTTCGAGATGTGGTTATATCTTAGAATGCTCAGAATATCATGGGTTCAACACATTTCAAACAGAGAAATCTTGAACAGAGTAGGTCAAGGTAAAGGTGACTTAATAAAAATGATAAAAAAGAGAAAACTCGAATATCTGGGGCATATAATGAGAGGAAGCAGATACAGGATAATGCAGTTGATACTCAACAGAAAGATCGACGGAAAAAGAGGAATTGGTAGGAAGAAATACTCATGGCTCCGAAACCTTCGTCAATGGACTGCTATCAGCAATGAATTATTACATGCCGCGCAAGATCGAGAACGATATCGGCAAATCGTCATGGAAGCTACCCACGCCTAAAACTTTGGCACAGTACTCAAAGAAGAAGAAGGTTTTACTAACACAATCGTTTTTAAATAACTAACATATTATAAATATACGTGACATGAACATAGAAGTTCAATGTTCATTTTATTTGAACATAGACATAGAACATAGTTCATTGAATAATAGCAAATATATTTATGAGAGGGAACTAGCATTCATTAATAGAAGGGCTTGAAATTTTGTCAATTCTTTTGCTTGTTTAAAAATCGTGAACTCTTCTGAATGTCCAAAAAGTATGTATTTTTTTTTCGGTTGTAAGTAACTTTATATGGTCTATATGACCTCTCTAAAAAACGGTCCTGCTAGATGAGTTTATTATACTGTACTCTAAGAATAACATTTTATTCAAAATATTTTTATACAAAAATTTTTTTTTTTTTTCAGAACTCTATCTTATATTGACACAGATGTTAAGTACATCTTAAAAGGAAAATCGATTAATATCAATGCAGGAAACATATCTGCAAGAGAATTTTCCAGTCCTGGTAGTTGGTCAGTAAACATAGGAGATAAACAATTTGAAAAATCTGTGGACTTGAGACTTGGTGGAACATATGCTGTAATGCTTAATGAGGTAAGTAAATTTAAAATAAATTGTAATGAAAATTAAACCTGGACAGTAAAAAAGAAGGTCCAGAAGTTGGGTACTATGTTGGGTTACGTACAAATTAATCCAAGCTGAAGTTTCGTCTTGGAATTTAAGTTAAAAAAAGAATTCTTAGTTTAAAGACATTCACAATCTAAATCGGCTGTTGGGTGTTTTAAGAGACGTAACGGCGAGTGTTGGGAAGTGGACCAACAGATCTAGATGGGGGATACTGGGTAAAACAATAAATCATTCCAACTGCTAGGGAAGTAGATAACAATCGGAACTAAATAAATGGGATAATGGCGTCACCTTCTCTTTTCTATGAGTTACAAGCAAAACTCAAGAATTCTAAATATTAGAGGATTCATAAACAAATAAAAAATATTACATAGAAAAAAAAGTTTAATTTTTTTTAAACTTTCAAATCATAAAGGAGCAATTACACTTACCTTATGTGATTTTTAATAAAAATTATTTGCTCTCCAAAAGTAGGTAACTTTAGTGAAGAGATAAAGGGAATACAAAGTGGTTATCTACTAGAGTATGGTAACAAACCGGATATATTAAATTACTACAGTAGATCCGCAATTATCCGAGTCTCAACTAACCGAGCCTCTAAATAACGAGGTCATAATTGAAAAGAACAAATTATGTAAGCAATTAGCTTGGAGGGTCAAATCAAGTAAAAGCGTGTGCTCTAGCTGTAAATATGCTGTAGGGATAAGTCACTAGCGAGTGTTATTGTTCAAGCTACTATGCTTCTACTGGCCACCTCCCAGTCACTCCCTCACCTGTCAGTTTGAGTCATCACAGCTATAATATGTAGCTGTTCGGTTCGTCCCACTGTAAGCTCTTACGAGTTCATTTATGTCTTCTCTTTGTGTAGTTTGAGTAGATATGGCATCCGACAACTGAACATTTTGGGTGAAAAACTTTCGTCCGATTCATCTAAAATTGAGCAGTTTAATTTAAAATTAAGAGATATCAGTTAAGAGCCTTACGTCTAACCGAATCTGTTTGCTTTCAACTAAAACACTGGCATCCCAAAGTGAAAAAACTACCCTGGATACAAAAAATGCAAAGAACGAGTAACTCCTTTGATGTGTAGCAACTCTTTTGGATACCTAAAATCCATAAGACCTATACTTATTGGAAAATCCAAGGGCTTTTAAAAATTTTGAAGTAAACTGCTTACCCACTATGTACAGGAATTAACTAGTGCGTGGATGGATTACCAAATTTTTATAGATCGGTTGTTTGACGAGTTCGTTTGCGTTGTTGAGGCCTACTTAAAAAAAAACTACCAAGAAAAGCTATTCTTCTTTTAGACAACACGTCATCTCATCCAGACACAAGTTCGTTTGCTAGCGGTGACATTAAATTTGTTTTCTTGCCACCAAACGTCACATCTTTTTCAACCTCTGGACCAAGGATTTTAGAGGCTATGAAACGGAACTATCGTCGAAGGCTTCTCCAAGTGCTGTTGACCTAATTGGATGAGGGAATGACTGTCACAGCAGGCATTAAAAAGATCGCCGTTAAAGACGTGTCTTGTTGGATAGTTTTAGCGTGGGACAAACAACCACAAACAACTTTGAAAAAGTCATGACGAAAGCTTTTTCAAATTGAAGCGAAAAGTAATGGAAAAGATATCAATAACTGTATTGCTGAAATAGTAGACCTCGCTAAGTAGTTATCAACGGAACTGCCGATGATGCAATCGCCGACATGGTTTTCAACCCACACAATGTTACTGAGGATGACACAGATGAGATAACCGAGAAAATATCTCACTCCAAAGGATTGAATGCGATTAGAGCTACCCTCGCTTACATTGGGCAATAGGAAGAGTTAACCCCTCCCGATCTCCTTCATCTTCAGCGTTGGCGCAACATCGCAGCGTTGCTGCATCGCAGCGTTGCTGCTATGGGCAATTGTTTGAAAAGACTGTTTTAATACATCAGGATGATCCAATACGTAAATGTTTTTCTGTCGCTGACTATTTAATTATCGTGTAACATGTTACACAAACAAAAATGTCCATCACAAGTTGATACGTTTAGAACATTAAAATTTTATATCTCTCGATGACCTGGTAAAATATTGGATTTCCAAAAAACTGTCAATATACGGTTGTATACGGTATACGGTGGTCAAATTCGGTTGTATACAACAATATTCTGTTAGTTCTGTTTTCATATTTAACCTAAGTAATGCAGTCTCGATTCCCGGTCAAGTTTCATTAGCATTCAGTAGCAATACTAACTATTTGTTCAAATACTTTTTTTAGCCGGTATTTGCCTTTCTAGCTGTGACATGATTATGATTATTTATGATTTTTTATAATAACCCTGCTTCAGAGGCTAAAATGGTACAATCATAATTTAAAAGCCCAACACCTAACTTTAACTACAATATTTTTAGATATCATCATCATAATTGTCTCAACAATCATTTGTAGATCTTCCTCTGCTCGTAGAGAAGTCGCCACCAGAGTCGATTCCTAGCAACTTCCCTGCATCTTCTGACCCTTATAATGTTAAGTTGTTCTTCCACATTATCAATTCATCTTCTACGCAGTCGTCCCCTACTTCTTTCGTCCTTTGTGTTTAAGAATGCCAATCTCGTCGTGTGTTCATTAACTGACAACCCAGCCTATCTTAGTCTCTGAACCTCAATAGATTTTACGATATCTGAATCTATGTATAGCTAGTATAGTTCAAAGGGGATAGAAATTATTGGAATTGGGGATAGAGCAAGCAAAATAAACCGAAAGTTTTGCGAACGACTTCTCAGGGTGTATTTGGAGAACTGGATCGTGGATAAGTGAATGGTAAGGGGCTTGGATTGGGGCAACTACAAAAATGAAACAAAGGGTACTTACATAAGTTTCATTGACAAACAAAACATGAGATGATTCTCAAGCTATTTAAAATAAGGATGCCGCTTTGAAGAATCTCCCTGCTGAATGAAAGAAAAGGCTCTTCCTTCCTAAAAACACAAAAAGGGGCTAGAAACTTTTTTAAAATAAATAAATAAAATGGTTTAGGGAAAAAAATTACACATTTATTATTATTTTACCACAAACAGATCACTTTTTGTAATCAATTTGCCAGTTAACTCAAACTACACACGCCATCGTCTGCTCTCAATGACCAATCTTTCAAACCTTACTTAAAACTGTAACTACACATTTAACTGCTACTATACACTATACTTCCATGAAGAAAAACGAAAACTAAAAGCCATTACGAATTTTGAAGAAAAATTCGGACTACAACGAAAACAACTGCCCTTGACAGCGGCTTTACGGAGAGAGATGTAGTTCTCTTCCCCGCAAAACTTTCTCAGGGATCTAAGTAGATGTTTATTTCAGGCGCAATATTTAAGCGAAAACGATCAAAGAAAATACCACAGAAGCGTCTGTGATATATGAACAAACTGTAAAATGTGTTTATTATCGACTCGAACGATGCAAAAGGATTGAAACAATATTTCGGAGTTTTAACATATACGAGGGGATTTCAATATGTACCAAAGAATTTAAAAATGCTGCATTACTGCTATGCATTAGGTAAAGATACGATGCCATGGTCTCGTTTAAACGTACCCTTAGAAACCAAGATAATATATTAACCTAATAATCAATTTAGTTGTTGATCATCGTATGATTTATTTTTTTATACAAATATGGTAAAATAAATAATCCATTGAATACTGTTTACTAATTATAAAATTCCTTTCTTTAAGAAACAAATGGAAATGGGTTATACGGTAGTGACAAAGCCTAATGCAGTCCACATAGCTTGGTTACTTCCTCAATATTTTATTATAACTGCTGCAGAAATTATGTTTTCCATCACAGGATTAGAGTTTTCGTACTCTCAAGCCCCAGCTTCAATGAAGTCCTTACTGCAAGCTTGCTTTTTATTGACCACTGCGTTTGGAAACTTAATCATTGTTATTATAGAATCCATCGAGATTTTCGAGAAAAAGGTAGGTTATAGTATTAAAACAATAATTTTAAATAATTTATTTCATATTTATTGACAAAATTTTTGTAAAAATATGTCCAACAATATGACATAAACATTCAAATTGTTTTCTTTTTCTTATTCTTTATAAACTATACATTTCTAAAGAAATTGTAGCTGTTGTGAGGAACTTTCCAAATGTGTTGTCCATGGAGGATTAATCAACTGGTTTGTTCATTCTGTATATCTACTAACAGGTCCTGAAAATTTCTAGCCTCTTTAACCACTTGCCTTCGTACTGTTCTATAAGGTAGTATCTGTGTACAGTGATTTATGTCCAGTGTTCTTTAATCTCTTTCATCCTGGTCTTGCCATCGTATCTTGAGTCTTTCTTTTAGTCCTTCTTCTTTTGTTGTCCACTTCGTTATTCTTCGGTGAGTGGCTTTATTACTTTCCTGAATATATATCCTTACCACTTAATTCTCCTGTACTTTTATTATTCTTACCTTCCGTATATTATGTGGTATTTTTACTAAATATTTCATGTTTTAATATCTTTTTATTTGTATATTAGTGTTTTTTGTTTTGACTTTTGTATTTGCTTGTTTCTTGCTGCTATCACTGTGTCCTCTACGTATGCTATTATTTTTATCACCTTATTGCGAATTGTTCCTGACCCTTTTGTTTTGGTAATAATATTATCTAGTAATATTAGGAAGAATAAAGCTAAATAAATAAAATTACGTGATAGGCATATTCCTAGACGTCCAGAAGGCATTCGATCAGGTCTGACACACAAGCCTAATTGAAAAACTCCACCTTGCTGGATTGCTCACTCCTTTCGCTAAACTAATTAATTTCTGTCTCTCTAATCGGAAAATCAGGATCAAAATAGCTGACCACCTATCCACACCCTGTACTCCACAAGCTGGAGTACCCGAGGGCTCAATACTTGCACCACTATTATACACAGTCTACAACAGGGACATCCCCCGCAAACAGCATAGATCGGAGTCCCTTCTACTTTACGCTGATGACACTACCCTTCTCACGTCAGGATCTCACAGAGAACATAACACTGTTAGGAGAAGACCTTATTTTCAGAAACTCGGTTTCCTACTTGGGAGTTCATTTTACTAGAACTTTTAACTAGAAAACCGACATTCAAGTTACCCTAGATAAAGTGAGAAATATGTTTAAACTCCTGGCAGTGTTGTCCGGTAAACTGGGCAAGACGTCATCCAAAACTTAAGTGCACACCTACAAAACATTCATCAGACCCATCATCGAATACAAAGCATGCGTCTATGCTTCTCTGAAGACCTACGAAAATAATGCCATAACGGTAATTGAAAGAAAAATCCCTAGATACTGAATGAGGCGAAGCAGGCTATATCCATCAGAACACATACAAGCACTGGTTAATATTCCACCAATTAACGACAGAATCCTATCCCTTAGCAGGAAGTGTGTCCTAAGAACCATCCATTGCAGGCTCGAACAACAGAGCCAAACAAATACTAAAGACTCCTTGCAATCGCCGGGGGCAAATTATCATCAGGCTTCCTAAAAGAAAAGTTGTTTCCTCCAGTAAAACTTCTTCATAACACTGCACTTCATAACCATGCACCATACAGCCTGTAGTCAACACTCAACACTCCGAGGTATGAGCGGGAACACAAGGTGCATAAATACTCATACGCTTATGAAACGCACCTGGCGCATCAGAAGGGCCTTCACAAATTACTCTGTCTTAACTTGTCTTGAGTGATATGTCTTTAATATTTCCCATCAGCCTCCCTTGACTAACTCTTCTTTCTTCCGACCCCGAATGGCTATTAGGTTTCCGAGGGTAGACGGGTCACTACATTTCCTTCTACCCGTACTTTTCAGTGTGGAGAGTCATTCAGTGGGACGAGTCATTCACCTAGCGTTTGCCCGTAAATGCAATCACCCACTTACTGATCAACTGCTTCGGGCGGATGAGTTGGTAAGTGGTAGGGCACTCTTTTGTCCTAAGGTTGTGAAATCGGCCTCGAAGGCGAATGAACCAAAGATTTGATTAACAGTATAAGGATGGGGAAGTACAAGTAGGGCAAACACCCCATTAAAGATCCACAGCGATACGCCCTAGTTAATCAATCATGACAATGCTCAATACTAAAACAAATTTAGGAGTAAGTCCTCCTTTCGGGTTCCGGGGAGGACATTTTTGAGTTTACCAAAAGATAATAAATTGAAGTGCAGAAACCGATGAAAAGAATGCATATTGAAATCATGAGAATAGCAGAAATGAGATTTAGGAGAAATACCAATAGAAGATCACAAGGTATTTTACTCGGGACAAAGTGATAGATCACATGAATATGAAGTCGGAATAATCGTATCTCTTAAAAGTTGCCAAATACGTTATTAACTTTACGCCAATATCAGAGAGAGTGATGCTACTACAAGTAAAAGTCAACCCTATTAATATAAACATCATCCAAGTCTATGCTCCCACTGCAGACTAAAAAGAGGAAGAAGCAATTGAGTTCTATCAGAACATCAACAGTATCATACAGAAAATTTCTCGACAGGAAGTTCTCATCCTTATGGGTGATTTTATTGACAAAATTGGAGCTGGAGACACAGTACATTTGAGTACATGGACTTGGAGTCAGAAACGAGAGACCTCGTTTCCTAGAAGCTAGATCCACCTTCAATTGGATGGGGGCCTTCTTCAAGTGTCACAACCTCTCTCATGATAAAAAAGTAAGAATGCTGCGATGCTACGTCTTCTCTGTCCTTTTTATAATGTGAATCATGGACCTTGAACGAAGATATGTGCAGAAAACTGAAGTATTTGAGATGTGGCTATATCGGAAAATGCTTAAGATGCCGTGGACTGACCGAGTCACAAATGAGGAGGTCCTTAGAAGAATGAATAAGAACCGAGAGGTACTAACCACCATCAAATCTCGAAAGTTACAGTTCTTCGGACATACTATGCGAAATGAATCCAGATATGCTCTCCTTCAAGCCATCCTGCAAGGAAAGATATTTGGAAAACGAGGTCCAGAAAGAAGAAGAACATATTGGTTAAAGAACCTCAGAATCTGGTTCAATACAACATCTGTGTAGCTTTTCCGCGCAGCTGCAGATAAGATAAAGATTGCCATGATGATCGCCAACATTCGTAACGGATAGGCACATGGACAATAAAAAGAATTGTAGCGTTATAATTGTTATTAGTTTTATAAAGATATTTTGCTTTGTATTAGTGCATAATAGGAGCTCGCCTGCCTGTATTTGTTTTATAATAATATTAATACTAATTCCAAATATAACAAAATTTGTCAAAAAAGTTGATCACCCTGTATTGTGTGTTTTTGGTCATTAAGGTTGATATTTTGACATTTCATTTTTAGAATGATGAACTTTTAAAGAACTCAGCAATCTAATAAACTTCTATATATCACTTTTTAATACTTTTTATTTTTATGATTTTATAAACACTTTTTAATCTTATTCTTCTATTTTAGAGTAACGACTTTTTCTTATATTGTGGACTGATGGTGGCCGATATGTTGATCTTTTCATTCATGGCCATGAGGTACAAATATATAAAGAAGGAAGATTCGCCATCAAGCTCAGAAAACGATCCTATAGAAACTAAAGCAAATTCAACCAATGGTATCGACAATCCATCATTCGTAAAAAGTTCTAATAATATTAATATTTAAGAAAAATAACTCGAATTTTCAACTATGAAAATTTTATTTATTTGGGGGCTACATTCACAACCAGTGTACTGATTTTTTAATATCAAGAATTCAAAATTTAAGAAGCATAACTTAAACACAAAATTGGAGTGATCTTGTAAGATATGACAGATTATATTAGCTTGTTCTAATTCAAGTATTTCATTTAATTTTTCTTGTAATTATACATTTTATATAGATAAGTTACCCTTTTTGACTTTATAATATAGAATACATTAGTACATATTGTATAAATATCAGTTGACGCTACCCCCGTATTGAAAAGAAATAGAGAAATGTAAATATTTTGACTGATCTTATTTATTTCAGATGTATTAAATCGTAAAGTAACGTTAGTGCAAATAAATGACAATCTTTAGAAAATCCAAAATGTTTATTTTTTTTAAATGCGTATTTTTGATATTCTTTTAGTACTTCATTTCTGAAAAGACCTTCAAAGACTTTGTATATTCGCTCCGTGCGTGACCATGGTAGGGGTACCGTGAAACGATGCCAGCGTGCATAACGTCAAAATATAACAAAATTGGAATCATCTTTTTACGCATAAAGATTCTAGATTAAAAACATTTGTAACTTCTGAGCAATATCATTATATATGTATTAAGAAAATGTATATATTATAAAATATTTGTTTAAAAAATACATATCATTAGATTTGTACGTACTTTAAAAATGAAATTATTTCAAAATCAAATAGAATTTTGTAAAAACATTTTGGAAATTTTTAAAGATAAGTTGATTATTAAAGTATTACCGAAGAAAAATGAGTTTTTGCAGAACTCCAAACAAGATACAAAATATTTTTATATAAAACAGCTGAAATAGTGTATATGTATATATACATTATATATATATACATCTATATATATATATATATATATATATATACAGATACATCTAAAAATATTGTAATAATAACAAATATATTTTTACATTGTGTACATATATTGTTGTAAATATATTTTATTATATTATCTGTTTTATTTTTATTTTTTTTTTACAAAATAACCGTAGTATCTACGAAGGTCATTAGTTTATACAATACTTATACAAATTCATCAAGTTCTGTTAGCACGTTTAATTGTTATTGGTCTATTACACTTTCTGCATTTTGGTGCTTGGGTATGCGTAATGAGAACAGCTGTCCCATGGCAAAACACAGTAATTGCATTTTTTAGAACAATGCAGAAAATTCGATTTTTATAAAATGTACAAGCCATAAGAAATTATTAAATAAAAAACACAAACTTGGCGGTGTGCTGGACAACCTCTATTTACGTTTTTTTAAAATATTATTGAAGGGAATAATTCGCCTTAGAAGTAGAGATCGCGAGTGAAAATTAATTTTACATAGATTTAAAAAAAAATTAAAATCCATTTTTGCATAACAAAACACAGTAATTGCCTTTGCTATATTTTGTAATTAATACATACTTAAAGAATACTCCATTTTGCAGAACAGTAAGTGCTGTTAGTGTGTTTTGCAAAAACAAATTAAAACTATATGATAAAACAATATTTATTTTAATAAAATACAGAATATAAAATACAATCGTACCAATGTTAAAACTGTGATTAAAAATTAGAAAATAACAAAAAAAACAATCTGCACTTAAAACAAAAATAAATAATATTACTAAAATGGCAAAAGGAACGCACTAGACAAATACGTCGGTTTGGTAATAGAAGAAAATTAAACAATAGGAACGAAATAAGCAAACAAACCAATATATTTTATTTAAATATTGGAATCTAGGACATACATTTGTTCTTGCTCCACCAAGTCTAAAGCTCGGTACACATAAACGATCCAAACGGTATGCATACGGTATGCGAACGCTATATTCGTTAATGTGTACGGCAGAAAAAACCGCTTGCGTACTGTATGCGTACTGTTTGATCGTGACTCGTTGCAAACCAAATTGTTGCGGTTAATTCCACGACTTCAAAAGAACCTCGTCTTTCAGTTTGGATGGCGCTACTAAACGCAGCGAATATTTTTATTGTCTCATCGAATCGACATTGTGAGAATGACGTGTTCCTTCCTAGAGAGACGTGAGAAAACAGTAAACTGATTATTGTACATATTTTTATTGTTGTTGTTAAACAAGCAAGTGATGTCTGTGTAGGATGTAAGTTAAATCTTATTAGAATTTCACGTAATAATACAAAAACAAATCACTTAAAACTATACTGTATTGAAGTAAAAAATAGCACATTTAAAATATTTGTAAGCGATAAATTTAAGAATAGCGTCTTTAGCGTAAGGATGGTGTGTTGAGACTCTCGAATGTTGACTATGTTCTCCTCGCCACTACCGGCATCCCCTCTCGTGGGGTGTAAAATAAACGTCGGGTTGTACTTAACTAAAGTGTAGTATACGGGGTTGCTCGAAAGTTTTAACATTTAAGCCGCCTCCCTTGAACGCCTGCAGGGGTTCAACAAGTAATAAAGCTGAGTTAAAAGTTTCTTTCACGTTGTTTCACTGAAGTTTAAGTCACTGATCTGTGGGTAGGACGCACACCTTTGTCACTGGTCGGTTGAAACAACCTCTATTATTTTTAACTGTCACTGCACGCACTATTTCGTCACTACCCGCATGTAATTGAGTCACTCTACCCAGGCACCATCTTAAGGGTTCAGTTCCATCTTCCTTCACCGTCACTAGACTTCCAATTTTGAGAAGACTGTTGAAATGTTTTTTCCACTTAACTCGCTGCTGGAGAGACGAAATGTATTCCTTGGACCACCTAGTCCAATAACCTTGGATCATTTTTTGAAGCCTTTGGAATCTGCTAAGGCTGTTTTCCTTGACATCTAAGAAATTCCGTTCAGGTATTGCGGTCAATGTGGATCCAATTAAAAAGTGTGCAGGAGTAAGAGGAAGTAAGTCGGAAGGGTCGTTGGACATTGGTGAGAGTGGTCGTGAGTTTAGGCACGCTTCAATTTGACATAAAACAGTGGAAAATTCTTCATATGAGAGAATTGTATTGCCAATGACGCGCTTTAAGTGAAATTTGACAGATTTTACTCCCGCCTCCCAAACTCCTCCAAAGTGAGGTGATCTTGGCGGTATAAACTGCCAGTTAATACCTTCGGTAGTTAAATTGTCCCTAATAGTTGAACTATAGGTATTAAAAAATTTGACAAGCTCATTTTTTGCGCCAACGAAGGTACTACCATTGTCCGAAAGGATCGAAGCGCATTTTCCGCGTCGAGAAATAAAGCGTTTTAGCGTTGCTAAAAAACTTTCAGTGGTCAAGCTGCTCACGACTTCCAAATGTATGGCCTTAGTTGCTAAACAGATAAATAGAGCTATGTAACCCTTAATAGTTTTATAATTTCGGGTGTGTCGATCCTTTAGCAAAAAAGGTCCTGCATAATCAAGTCCACAGTTGTAGAATGGCCTAGAGGGAACAAGACGTGACGAGGGTAAATTACCCATAAGATAGGTTTCTAATTTAGGAGCCACCCTACAACAAATAATACAATCGCGAACGATTTTGCGAACCACTTGACGTCCATTAATGGGCCAAAATTTTTCACGAATGGAAGCTAATAGTAATTGAGGACCGCAATGATTTAAATTAAGATGCTCATTTCGTACAAGAATAGTAGTAAAGTGGTGTTTAGAATCAAGGACAATGGGATGTTTTTTATCGTAACAAAAATCAGAATTATGTAGTCTTCCGCCAACGCGGAGTATGTTATCCTTATCGATAAACGGATTGAGGGTAAGTAGTTTACTTTTAGAGTTAACGTTACCATGTCTTTTAAGGTGTGTCAAATCGTCATAAAATGTTTCATTTTGTACTAGTCGAATAATATATTTTAAAGCATTATCTATTTCCTCACAAGAAAGGTTGTCGAAGCTCCTTCGTTTAGGAGAAAATTTACAATTATTTATAAAGCGTAATACATAAGCAATAATGCGTTGTAGTTTTACAAATGAGGATATTTTAGTGATGATATCCAATTTCATGTGAACTCTTGAGATAAGGGCTGATACTGGTCGAAGCTCAGGGAGTTCAGAAGGTTCGAATGTTCTATTAGGCCAATGAGTTTCTGGTTTAGCTAGCCATGATGGGCCATGAAACCACATTTCAGAAGTGATAAGTGATGTAGGAGAAATTCCCCTTGAAAGAAGATCTGCGGGATTCTCAAGTGTATTCACGTAACGCCATGTGTGAGATTCGGTCAAAGTTTGAATTTGAGAAACTCTATTTGCCACAAACGTCTTTAACAAACTCGGAGCAGTCTTTATCCATCCTAGAACAATAGTGGAGTCGCACCAGTAAGTGATTTCTTCGAAATCTAATTGCATGTGTTGTTTTACCTTGTCTATCAACTCAGCTAGCAAGTAAGCTCCACAAAGTTCTAGACGCGGTACCGTGAGAATGTGTTTTAAAGGAGCTACTCTGGTTTTGGAGCAAAGTAGATGACAATGAAAATTTTCAAAGTTTTCAGATGAACGAATATAAATGCAAGCACCATATGCGGTGGTGGATGCGTCTGAAAAACCGTGTAGTTGAATTGACTTGTAGTTTGTACAAATTACATGCCTAGGAATTTGTAACTGATTAAGTTTAACCAGTTGAGTCTGATATGTAACCCATTTCGTAAAGATATCCATGGGAACGACTTCGTCCCAAGAAATTTTTAGTTTCCACAAATCTTGTAGAATAATTTTAGCTGTTATAGTTACAGCCGAAAGCAAACCTAGTGGATCAAATATTTTTGATATAGTGGAAAGAATAAGTCTCTTTGTAACTTTACACTTGTGCTCTATAGGTTGAACATTGAAATGAAAAGTGTCAGATTTGGGACTCCACAATAAGCCCAAAGTTTTGATAGTATCGTCAGCTCCAATTTCCAAGGAAACATTATTTTGATTGTCAAAGTTTAAAATAGGTGCGTTTGACTTCCATTTTCTCAATTGAAAACCATGACGAGACAATAATTCGGAAGTAAGTGATTGAATACGTTTGATATCTTCTATTGTAGAACCACCTGTGTGAAGATCGTCGACATAAAAGTCCCGTAAAATTATAGAAGATATGTCGGGAAAATCGGTTGCATACATATGTGCCACTTCTTGAAGACATCTAGTGGCAAGAAAACTAGCAGAAGCAGTACCGTAAGTAACGGTGTTTAAAGTATAAGTTTCGAGAGAGTTTGTATGATTAGATCGCCATATGATCTTTTGTAAGGAGCGTTCTTCCTCCTTTATCAGTATTTGTCGATACATCTTTTCTATATCAGCTGTTAGTACAAAATTATGTTTACGAAAACGTGAGATGATAGTAAAAAGATCATCTTGTAAATTAGGTCCAACCATAAGAATGTCATTCAGGGAAACACCTGAATCTGTATTGGCAGAACCGTCAAAAACAACACGAATTTTATTGCCTTTATAGACACAATGATGAGGAAGAAAGAACTCATAGCCTGTGGTTTCAAAGGGTGAAACGGACATATGGTGTAAGGATAAATATTCATCGATAAATCGAGTGTAATCATCTTTTAATTCAAAATTCGCATTAAGTTTCCTTTCGAGAGAATAGAACCTTTTTGTTGCTGTAGTCTTAGAGTCGCCTAGATTGTCGACGGAAGATTTCAAGGGAAGTGATACTACAAACCTACCAGAAGAATTAAGAGAGGTTGTTTTTAAGAAGTGATCTTCACAAGAAAGTTCTTCGTTAGACAAAAATTTTGTTTTTGGGCATTCTTCAATTTCCCAAAATTTTTGAAGTTGATCTTCTAATGCTCAACTTGTTTATGGTCGACAAATGGCATGAAGTTCTGGCTGCAAGGGTATTGTTTGGAAATAATGGACCTGAGATAATCCATCCAAGTTTAGTTTTTTGAAGAATCGGTTGTCCAGGTGATAATTTAATCTGACCAATACAAATTAAATTCCAGAAGATGTCTGCACCGATAAGAAGATCAATAGGAGATGAAATATTGAAGTCTG